AGTCACTCAAGCTCTGGTACCATGTAAAGAACCTTGGGATATACCACTCCAAAAGTTAGCTCAAAGGGTGGGAGTGTCCAAGGCCTTATAAATGCCACATTAGTTGCCCACACAATCAATGTGAGACTATATATCTCAACATGTCCCCTCACACAAGAGCCCTTTGGGCTTGAAGTGTGGATATTGCATAGGTCCAATTTTTGGTTTACCTTTTTGTGTTTTTTATTTTAATTCCATTTTAAAGTGGGGGACGAGGATCGAACTTGTGACCTTATAGTCACTCAAGCTCTGATACAATCTAAAGAACCTTGGGATACACCACCCCAAAAGCTAGCTCAAAGGTGGGAATGTCCAAGTCCTTATAAACTTCACATTAGTTGCTCATACAACCAATGTGAAACTATATATCTCACGTTTCCCTGATGCAAGAACCCTTCAGGGTTATGATCATTGTCTAACAATTTTGGTGTTTATGCATCTTACGTTTCCATTCGAATTAATGATAATTATGATGTCCGCACAAACAGGATTAGAGACCACAAGGCACGCGTTACTTACGTGTACAGTGACACCAAGTATACTCGTACCACGTCCACCAACCAGGTGCAAAACATCATATACATTATGATTCTTAATTACAGACAAGGATTCCAAAAAGCTCAAATTATCAATCATTTTCAAATTCTAATACCGGATGACAGTGTTATGGGCCCTTTCTTTCTTTTTTTCTTATAGAATGCTTAAAACAGATGTCAGAAAAACAAAATGAATACTTCATCATACTATACAGTTATAGCGTGGCACCAAACTCGACGTGAGGGGCACATAATTTTCCAAAGGAGACAATTTACTTTTTAACTAGTTAAGCGAGACTTTCAGGTTCGTTTCTCTGTCGCAATATAACTAAAAATATTTTTTTTAGGTCAGAATATTTTACACTGATTTAAATTACACTCTTAATTTCATTATTATTTATATTTAATAATTTTAATTTATTACATATATAAGCAGTTAAATACAAATAAATCAATACCAAGATTTGGTATTAAACTTTTTATTCTTATACTAATGTAAAAATAATTTGTCCTTTCTATTTATTTTTTTATCAGTTGAAATTCTAATAGAATTCAAATCTTATGAATAAGAAGTTGAGTGTGAAGACATCTCTCTTTTCATTGTGGAACAGACATGACGTTTCATGAACGAACAAACATAATTTTTCACTACCGAATATACACGACTCTTCACCGCAAATAGGCACTTTTCATCGTGACCATTCATAGTTTATAAATATAGAAGGTAATCAGAAAAAATTAAGAGACTTTTCTAATTTCTCTCTTGTACCAAAACTCTGTCAAAATGATTTTTGAAATCTTTTACATTCATTTTCTGCTATTGGTCAACATTTGTTGTGTCTGCCAATACTATTTCTTCTAGTAGTGCTACCGTTAAAATAGAGGTAATCCGTTTTATCATGTGAGATATTTGTCCATATACCTTAGGTATCGTTAAAGGGGCAAAATTGTCTTAAGGATACAATATCTAATATTTAACTCGGATTTGATTTTCTACAATTTTTATTATGCCTTCATATCATTTTCTAATTTCATATGATTGCATTCTATTTTATGTATAATTGTGTTTCTTCTAATAGTGCTACCGTCAAATTATATAGAGATAATCCATTTTATCATGAGAGATATTTGTTCACGAACCTTAGGTACCGTTAAAAGGGCAAAATTATTTTAAGAATACAGTATCTAATACTTAGCTCGGATTTGATTTTTTACAATTTTTATTATGCCTTCATATCATTTTCTAGTTTCATATTATTGCATTCTATTTTATTTCATAACACAGATTTTTTACACTACCACCACAAACATTATCTATCCGCGGAGCCAAAGTCCAAAAACACAAACTTATAAAGAGATTACATGGGGCGTAATTTTTGTTGTTTCTGAGGTGTTTCCACAAATTTAAATAAAATTAGTTTCTTTCATGATATAAAATATAAAGGTTTTTATGACTGACTTCGAGTTACTTAGTCTAACTAATAATTGAATTAAAGACATTTTAATCCTATTAATCTATTTTTTTTAAGTACAATTCGCTTACCAATGATGTGATTGGATAACATGGGGTGTAATTTCTCCCGTTACATCACACATCAACTCTGCCAGTGGGCTTTCAGAATCCTAGGCTCATGTTGACCATAAGGCTGTGTTTGGTTTTTGGGATTCTCAAAATTTCCCATATGCAATCCTTGTTCTTCTTGTTTGGTCGAAAGATTTTATAACTTTTATCCATCAAACATATTTGTCTATCTAAATAGAAATGTGTGCTAAAAAGGAAAAAAACACTGTTGATGAATGCTTATTCTAACGTGGTATTTCTGTCCGAATTCGAGAATCGAAAAAAGTGGGTGAAGAGAGTGACATTAATACCCCTATGTGATATATGTTCTTAATAGTTCAAAATTTTATAAAAATGGTTACTTTCGTAAATTTCATCTATTTTTCCATCAAATTTTTATTTTCAACCAAACATACACTCAACATATTTAACCCAATTTGTCCACTAATATTTTACGGTACCAAACAATTTTTTTTACATTTTCCTACCAAACTCATTTTCTAACCATTTTTTTATGTATATCATTTTTCTATTATTCATAAAATTTCTCCTCAACCAAACACACCGTGAAGGGTAATATCAAGCTACACTTTTTCTCAAACATAAAAGATAAGATAAAGAGAAGAAAAAGGAAATGAAAAAGCATATATACTAAACTCTTGGTACTATAAAATTCATAATTATTATCTGTAACTCCAGAAGGATTTCGGTGGTCTCAAATTATCTTTGATTTAATAGTTTGAATTAATTAAAATCAAATTACTATTGAGGAAAGAAGAGAAATAAAAATAAAATTTTGTTTAAATATCATCCTCTAAATAGAAAGACCACGTGGAGTCTGAAATACCAAAAAATTTCCTCCGTAACTCGGTAAATTAAATAATGTGATATTTTTTAATTTTTTTGGTAAATTAAATAGCATCTGATTTTTTTAGTCTAACTCCGGTAAATTAAGAGTTCATATCAACAATGAAATTCCTTTTTAACCAAAATATAATAGGATACAAATATAAAACAACGTCATTGTGCTATGGTAAAACTTTAGTTTTGAAAAGACCATTTAATTAGATCAATAATGTTTTTTTAATGATTTCGTTAAGGAGAAGTCGAGAAGACAAAAAAAAAAGACCTTGATCTAATTTCTTTAAAAATAAAGAATTTAATTTTTGACAAAATACAATTTAACCACTTGATTCATGTAATTAACCAACCAAATCAACGAAAAAAATACTTTTTGATGTTGTCATATTATGAGTTAACTATTAATTTACCAGATTTAGGTTAAAAATTGAGATGCTCAAAAATCAAAATCTTTCTAATGAACTATCAGTAAAGCACAGCGACTTGTTATAAATAGAAATGCTATGTACGTATCATTTTCCGTATATCTAGGTGTGCAAACACGTTAAACCAATCTACAAGAAGCTATGACGTAATTTATATTTGGTGAGACATGATCTATTACAAATAGTCAAATAGAACATGACTAGATTTTTAAGAAAACTTATTTAGAAAGCAGGTCATAAGCTTTTTTGTACATGTCGAACTTATAAGTCTACAGGTCGGTTTATCATATTATTTATTTTAAATAAAATTATTATTTTAATAATTTTGAATGATAAAGTAATATTATTTTAATTATTTTTTTAATTATTTAATGTTAAATAGGCTAAGACCAATTTTTTTTTTTAGTATTTCTACTAACCGGTTCATGGTTTATCATATTATTTATTTTAAATAAAATTATTATTTTAATAATTTTGAATGATAAAGTAATATTATTTTAATTATTTTTTTAATTATTTAATGTTAAATAGGCTAAGACCAATTTTTTTTGTTAGTATTTCTACTAACCGGTTCATCCTTTTAGGATCCGGGGGTTGAGAGCAACAAGGGTACTCCCCCTCTCAACAGATGCGCTTCCCGGGTGTAGAACTTGAGTCCTCCACCTTACGGGGACCAAGCATGCATCCACTTGGCCAACACCTTGTTGGTAAATTTTTTTTTTTAAAATATAGGTTAAGTCAAACTTATAATTTGAGTTTATATGAAACTAATAGGCTAAGTCAGCCGTAAGATCTTTTATATAAACCTGACTTATTTAAATCAAAAGATAACTTAACCTAATCTATTTACAGTCTTGCATATACCTCTCCCTTTAGCTTCTTTCCCCGTCCTTTTTTCCCCTCAACAGTAGAAGGTGTAAGGGGTACGTGTTAGAAAAATCAATTACAAAACTGCAATGCGTTCTGGAAGGAAGAAATGAATCTGCCACTGCCTCAAAGTTCTGTTACCAAATATTATTTATTGGGGAAAAATTCGTCTACAATTTCAAATAAGGAAAAGCTCATGTTTGGCATGAATAGGTTTGTGTTTTTTAGCATTTAATTTTGTTATCTGCATAAATGTTAATCAAAATGAAAGAAAATGAACAATAACTATTTTTTTCCAAAAGGAAATAATTTATGAGAAAAGTGATTCTTATTGTAAAGGATACAAGTTTTTGTTATTTTAAATGAAATTATTATGTTTTTTGTGATTTTTTTTACCTTCTATCTCCTTCATAATTTTTTATTTTTTTCTCGTATATTCATTTTATGAAAGAGAGAATATAAAAAACAACTAAATATGCATCAAAACATAATAATTTCACTTAAATTGATATAAATTTATATCATTTAAAATGATAAATACTTTCTTGGGAGTAACTTAGAGAGCAATTAAACCATGCCACACAAACACGGCCCAAATCCATTGCAATATACTTAGATACTACAAATATACTTTTCCCCTGTTCACAAACACACAAAATATAACGAAATTTATTGTTTTACAAATACTTAATCTCTCATTCAAAATCACCCTCAAACCAGAAGACCATTCATCTTGAACTCAGATTTAAGCTTCACAATTTCATCCTCGGATAAAATTATAGTCACAAACTTCCCATCAGCGTCACTATTGATAGAACCTTTAGGGCATGGTAGCACCAAAACAGCACCTTCATCTCCAACCCCTTGTAGGGTGTGGTAAACAAATTTTGGTTTGTGTCCCTTTAATTGTAAATCATACACATTGATTTCTTCCAAGTCAAGAAATGTCAAATTAGCACCATAGACAAAGAAATCAGTAACCCCTTGATATTTTTCAATTGCTTCCTGAATCTGATTCCTCTCATCCACACCTTGATCAACAAGCATGCTTGCCAATACTCTCAATTCAGTGTCAACAATTGAACATTCACTTCCAGCCTCAACCTTGCTTATCACTTGGTTGTTTCCAATCATAGTATCATTGCCCTTATGATGCGGGTCGGGTCTGCAAACAGTTACGGTTTTGGGTTCGGATCCTACCCGAACCCGGGCCACAGATTGCCAAATCATGGCGCATAGGGATTCAAATGGAGGGGTTTGGTCAACACTTTGACCCCAAATCTTTGCTTGCAAGTAGTTCATCTGGGAGCTAGTTAAGTGGAAGGAGTATGTGTCCATTTTGATGTTATTGGCTGGGATCCAATGGTCACCCACTTGGTCGACCCGTTTTGCTGAAACTGGATCTTTTTCGGATCCGGGTTGGTAGGGTGTTGGGGCGGATCTTGGGATGTTGAAAGGCTTGTTTAGGTGCAAATTATTCATGGTTTGGCCAAAAGTGTTGAAGAAATCCGAAGCTGAAAACGGGTCACCGAGTACATGAGCCCAGCTAAGACCCAATGAAATTCCACCACACTTAAAGTTAGTTATCTGCAAAACCAAATTCTCATGAATTCATGGCTAATGAAAAATATATATATATATATATATATTCTTGAGGAAAATGATTTTATAGTTGTCTAAGTTTTTTGTAACATATGTATATTTTATATTTGATTTCTAAAAAAAAAAAAATATTATTCAATAAGTTAGACTCATATATACTTGTTATGGACCTGACAAAAACCCGCATTCTAGAAAGACCAATAAAGGACAGTACAAAAGGAATAGAATCTTCTATTGATGACAATCTTATCCAGACAGCTAAGCAGTTGGACTTAGGCCCCCAATATTCCTAAGAGGCCCAGAAGTACACTTCTTCAGGTAACCCATCTATAAACAAGGGGGTTAAACCAATAAGGTATAGACACTCTCAAAACCCTATCTCTTAGCTTGTCACTGTGCACACACTCAACGCCTTGACTATGTCGATTATTATTGTGCACAGTGATCAGCCTACCATCAAAGGTATCTCATTCATAGATACCTGAGAGAGGGCACAATCCTACATAAAATATACTAACCACCGGCTGGACATCTCTGTCTTTCAGACAAAACAATACTATTAAAATGTGTTTATAATGATTGAAACATTATTTAATAATTTATATAAGAGTTTATAAAAGTTTTATGAAAAATTTGTTTGTCCGAGTAAAAGTGAGGTTTCTATGTAACGAGCATTAACAAGAGCGAAATCAAGGCAAACCATGGTACATGGTCATTTTAGGGTCTACTTTATTTCTTATAAAAAGAATGGTCCACCACACCAGACAACATACTTTGTCGACGTAAGGGTAGTTTTTGGAGAAAGGATGTGTATTAATTCTCTACCAAAAAGAAGAAGAAAAAAAAGAATGAGGACCAACTAATTACGCAAACAACTTCAAGTCTTCAATCAAGGAAAAAGAAAAGGATGGTAGGGGTCCTTTTCACACACTTCTTTGCTCTATATATATATATATTTATTTATTTATTTTTGGTACAATATAAAGACCACTACTTAGTGCTCGTTTGAATGAGCTTTTGAAAAAACAAAATTATGCCTTGTTTATTTTAGAAGGACTTTTTTCAAAAGTTAAATTTATTTTGCATTTGGATGTAGTACATGGGAAGCATTTTTAACTATATATATTATTTAGATGTTAAAATTAAAATGCACTTTCATCTATAAAATTACTAAAAAAGACATGTGAAAACAAATTATAAGAGCAAATTTGATTGTGGTGGAGGCCATGGAGATAGCAACGGGGGTGGGGGCAGCAACAATGGTGGTAGCGGGGTGGTAATGATGATAATGTGATGATGGTGACGGTGGCAGGATGGTGACGGCAACAGAGGTGATATAGGTGGTGGCAACGATGATGATGTGGTGGTAGTGATGATGGGGTGTGGTGATGGTGGTGGCCCTGGACTGTGGTAGAAGAGATGAAATTGTGTAACAACTTGACTGTTATTTTAAAATATTTTTAGCTAATTTCTTCATATAATTAATACATTTTTATTAAGAAAATAAATACTTCATTTTCTTTCTTTTTTTTGTTAAAAAAGTTTGAACTAAAAGAAGATCTACTTTCATACAAGATCAAGAAAGCAACCAATCTTAATAAAGATCTATTTTTTTTAAGATACATTGGTAGAAATTGAACATATAATATAATTTATCTAAATCTCTCGACACTATATCAATCCTAGTGGCTTAACTTAATAAAGATCTATAATAGAATCATGCATCACCCAATTGCAGGTTTTAAACTCAAACTTAAGTTTCAACTTTATAAGAGTTTAAGGTAAACTAGCTTAGCCAACCCAATTAGTATGTACTTTTCTATTGCAAAAAAAAAAACTGAATATTAAACTTCATCTTAATTGAAATAAAATTGGAGCTAGTTATTTAAAAGAATCAGCCACGTGTTGCCACCTTTACAGGGTACTATAATTGGGCTAACCCCTATTCATTGTATTAACTTTAATAGCAAACATTTTAGGTGACATATGTCTCCTCCCATAGAAACATTTATATGGTAGGACCCATTATCATTATAAATTAAAAAAGGTAAAGGATTTCTGCTATTAATAGAAATAAATTATCTTTCATAAGCTCAAAATAATATTGGGGCAGAAATCAAAATATTTGCACCACTAGGGATAGCCTAGTGGTGTTGGGTGTGTTTAGTGTGTATTAGGTGTGCGGTTCGATTTCCTGTAATGTCCAAAAAAAAGAAATCAAGATATTTTTGTAATTCTAATATATTGTACGGTTATATTAGTCTTCATCATTATAATTTTTTAAACTTATAATCTCAAAATAATTTTATTTTGAGTCCATTGAAAATTAAATTATCTTCAATGACTGAAGAAATACTTTTCTCATCAGAAAAATAGCAAAACTTAAAAAAAAAAAAAAAAAAATTGATAATAGGAGATGATTTTTCTCTTTGTAACAGGAGAAAATCATCTCCCTAACGTTAAAACCCATTTTTAAATGAAAACTATGCATGGCAAAAAACAATTTCGGAAAATAAAGAAGAATATTATACACTTTTTTGTGCGTGTATTTAAAGTTCGTATTCAAATCGAGGAAGGTGAACACCTACCAAAGACAAAGAGATCAGGGCCGAATGAGTACGATAATTCGCTAATAATTAAAATATCATACGCATTTATGCCGAGAGGCATTTATGTTGACTGCCGGCATTTTCACTGGTATTTGTGGAATTGTGATTTTTAAGATATGCTCCTAATTTTTATGGGTTTATTATTCTCATTTAATATGAGAATTATAATTTTTCTACACATCCTTTGATTTTCATGCTGACATGGGTTCTACATATAATTTTTTCTAACATATGGATCTCACATGTTTTTTATCTCTACAACATGAGATTTCAATTCTCCTTCAACATGAGAATTATAAAATCCAACTTTTATATGGTAAAATTCATCATAGTTTCATAAAGCTAATTGGATAACATAAAATCTATATTTTGTTTTAAACCGAATAATAGTATAAAAAAGAGAATAATATTTTTCATGTAAGATCGAAATAATTTTATTTGCTGCGCTCATATGAAAGTGGGTGACACCCTATGAGAAGAAAAAAATAAATAAAGAAAAGAAGTGAGTCTGTACCTACTTTCATGTGAGTAGAATAGATAAAATTATCTTCTTGTTACATGAGAAATATTATTTCAATTAAAAAATAAATAAAATAAAATAAATCCTCAAAATAAAATCTTCAAAACTAGGAAAAGAAAAGAAGTATATAACTAAAAGTAGTGGAAATCACGGGAGTGGACGTGATGGTTCAGCATCTCATCCCTTAAGCAAGTGGTTGAGGGTTCGAACCTCAACTTTTGTGAATGAAAAGCATTTCGTGGCCAGCTCTTTACCGCTTTGTGCACTGATCCGGGGCGAGGGATTAGTCTCATGACTATCGGCGGTGGGATACCCGGAAGTAATAAAAAAAAAACTAAGAGTAGTGGAGTCTCTAGGGTCATCCGCGTGTCTGAGTAGCATGCACTGAGTTTAACTTGCCTCTCCATGAGAAGATTAGGAAGAATTCAAATTTTTTGTCTCTTTTCTTTTGCTTAATTCCATTCCTCAATCAAATGTTAACAACAATATAAATACTTTTTTTTTTATCTCAATTTAATAAATAATTTTTTGGCTGAAAATTGTTTGAATTATAGTACGAGAGGTTGTGAAAGTGGAGAGATGCACTCATGCACATGTATGTGAAAAATTAGACCAATAATAATAAATGATAAACATGTGTGTGTGATGTGTGATGAATAATTAAATAAATATATGTGTGTGTAGGCACAGCAGTACCTGTAAGAAAACAGAAGGAGAAAAAGATAATTCAGGGCCAATGACTTGTTGAGAAACCAGCAACTTGTAGAAAGGCCATTCCTTCATGTCTAACCACTCATCTATTGTTTTCTTGCACTTTGCCTCAATGAACCTGCATCCACAATCATTGCACTTGATGAACGGCCGGCCTGATTCCGATCGCCGGAATCTTCCACAAAGGATGAAGTAGTGGTTTAACAAAGTGAACAAGCATTCTTTTATCTTCTTTACGGTTAACCCTTGTGCAGCATCACTTTCAAAGAAATAAACCACTTTAAGGTAGTGAAGTTTCATGGCCAAGTCCAATCCACTAAGGTTGTGGAACACATCCGAACTTGTGGCACGTCCAGGCCCAACTGAGGATAGCCTCACATCATACACTAAACTCTCTTCTTCCTCGCGGAAAGCCATATTTTGGCTTTGCCCTATGAAAGCAAGGTGGGTAGGTGGTGGAAATTTTGTGCTGAAACAAAGTGAAAGAGGCTTTGATGGTTGTACTAAAGCGAGAGATTGTCAACGAATATAAGGAGAGTGATGGTACGGGGTGAGATATGAGGGGCCCATGTATATGGCTGGTTGGAGATTTAATGGAAACTTATTGTGCATTTGTTGTCATTGGTTCGTACAAAATAAACAGTTAGGGACTGGGATTTTGTGTTTCAAGTGATTTCCCTTCATGTTAATATATTTTTAACCAATCCAATTAAAATTTAGGTATTAAATGCCAAAAATAGGATAAATATCATTGTAACTGATCAAGAATATAATATATATTATCAAATGTAAAAGACTATTGAGCTTTTATGATTGGACATGATACTGACTTGAAAACAGTGTTGTTAAACCCAACCCGGGTATCGACCCGATCGGGGTACTGGGTCATTGGTCGAACCGGTTGACCCAGATATATATAGATATATAAAAATATTTATAAATATGAACATATAAATTTAATTATATTCTTCATATCTAAAATGAATTAAACAATGTTAACTAAATAAGCTAAAAAGCATGAAGCATAAATAAATAAAAGTGCATGCTATTACTATGTCAATTTAAATTGCAACTCAGAATCTCCCTAAACATACCTTTCAATGACATTGAACTCATAGTTTTCAAATTCAACTACATTAAAATGGCATATGTCGCATTCTCTAATTTATTATTCCACAAATTACTTCAGTATTGGAAACTAAGAGTTCATTGTAGAAGAGTATACCAGTAAATAAAATTACAAAAAGTTTTTAAAATGAGATTTACATTTTTTTGATAAGATGAAACGATTTTGGTTTTTTTTTTAAATGCATGACTCGACCGGGTCACCGCGTTTGGTTGGGTTTGTCCGGGTCGATGCATGACCGGTCCAATGCTTAACCCGAACCGGTCTGATGACTGGTTCATCGGGTTCCGGGTCGACCCGAGCGGGTCGGGCCAGGTTTTACAACAGTACTTGAAAATATACTGGTTTGAGGTTTAACTTGTTAAATTGGAGCATTGGAGCAGCAATGATTAAGCTAGAAGGAATTAAAGCAATAAATGATGAGCAACTATTTAGTGAAAATCTCCCTAAAGCTATCTTCCAGCCAATTTTTAGTATTCAAGATGATAATTTAGATCTTATGTTCTTCACAGAAGTTGTAGATCTCTCATTTATCTTTCCAACGAGACCAAGATCACATCAATTGGACGAGTATACTCAAGTTATGCCCAAAATATGAAATCATATTTTTGCTTTCGAATTTGCTTAACATCATTAATGAAAGCCTACGGATCTTCGGTTATAAAAGACACATTTTAGGGTTTTTCTAATGACTTTTGACGACTAGGGATGACTTCGAAGAGGAGCTCTATTCTGGATAAGAGAAGGCAGAGGAATGGTCAAGGCTTCGCCGTGGAGATCGGTTACTTCGTTCTTTTATACTTTTCTTTAGTTTCTTATCTCTTGTCTTAGTTTTTCTGACTATGTCAAGCTATGTTTCTTTGTAGTTAGGGTTAGATGGAAACAATGAATTCCTTTTGATATTTATGCCTTTCCTGTAATTGATATTCAATTTTATGTTATGCAATTAATTTGTTTTCTTATTTCTAGCTTTGTTCATGAACTGATCACTCATAGATGAATATATGAATCTTGTATAACAATAGAGATGTTGGCGTAGGATTTCAATTTGATTAATTGCTAGATTTTGTATGATCTAGGGATAGACTTATAATATCTATGATATTAATTCTTGTTCTTAATGTTTTCCCTAGGAGAGATCACTAAGGGATTATAGGAATTTGAATAGGGTAAAGGATTGAATAACCAAGGGTTTAGGGTATAATTAATTTAAAAATGAATTGTCAATAACATGAACTGAATGTTAGTTATTGGAAAAGGTAGATTCATCAGGAAGACATTGAGGAAATCAACACCCTAACTACACTTTTACATATTTGATTTTTGTCCGTTCTTGATCTTGATAATTGTTAGTTGGTACTTTTGCATTTTTAATATTTAAATCATATTCTCAAAAATCTTTAAGACAGATCCAACTTTGATAGCATAGATAAATTATTGCTTGATAGATCATTCTTGTGGAAATGATACTTTACTGTTTACTTTATTACTTATACAACCGTTGTATTTGTCGAAGTCACAACATTAAGCCTCTTAATTATGATTGCTCTTGACCTTTTCCCCTCCTTTTATATATATATATATATATATATATATATATATATATATAGTATTACTCCTTTTTCCCCTCCTTACCTTATGGTCTCACCATTATTGCATGACCTAACAATTTGGGAATGCACTAATGCTCACCCCACTACTAGTACGATGGAATATCCTTAACATGGACCTGTATATATACAGATGACATGCCCTATGCATCTTCTCCTTTACGTACCACCACCACCTTTTTGCCTACTTTTTAACAATTTTAACCCATTTGGAAAAAAAATTATACTACTAATTAACTCAATTTAAAAGCTTAAGTTTATAAGTAATATTTTCATTAATAAATTTATATTAGAATTATCTAATACACCCCTTCATACATAAACTTATTAAATACAAAAGATAGATAATGTACAAGTTTGCATGCGCTATAAAAAATTTCATAGTTTAATATTTATTAAAAAAATAGGAGGATGAGGATCTCGTAATCACTTGATCACAAGCTCTAATACTATTATATAAAATGTCAATTCAATCCAAAAACTTCTCTAACAAAAACACCATAATTAAGCAACTTACCGGCCCTTCATCTCCAAATGAACAATTATAAAAAGGGATATATTTCTCTTATGTCAGTAGAAAAAATTATCTCATATTGTAGAAATAAAAGTATAAGTGAGACCCACAGTTAAGAGAAAAGAAAAAAAAAGTAGTGGGACCCAACACCTTTTTGTGTGTATAGAAGAGTTATTTATCTCGTGTAAAATGAGATAAACATAACCCTTATAAAAATAAGATTTTACAAAGGGTTTAGTGTATGTCCTTTTAAAATATGTAAGTTGTGTTCTTTTAGTTTTTTACTCTATGTACTTCCGGTAATATATAGTTATAACATGAAAAATTATTTTTTTTCACTTTCCACGTCATCTGATGTGACTGGGAAGGAAAAAAAGTAACTTTTCATATTACAACTATGTACTATCAGAAATATATAGAATAAAAAATTAAAAAAATACAAGTTACGTCTTTTTAAAACACAAATAATTTTGGATTACTGTAATAAATGGGAAAACTGTTCTTCTAGCGAAACTGTCTATAACTCTACAGGGAATGGAGATATAAATATACAAATAAAGAGATATCTTTTACTCTTCTTTCTTGCCTTTCTAACACAGGCACATTGCCAATTCCATCAAATGCTTTAGGACAGCTAAGTTATTAATTATCCCCCACATGGCCACATGGCAGTTATTAAATTTGTTCGGTGAGATGTTGCAAATTTGAGAATGGATCCTTTCGTGTAAAAAAGTCGTCATGTGGTCATATTATTTGATCACAACCACTCATTTAAAAATTATGCACTTTTCTCTCTATTATCTGATCACTAATGAGTGGTTGTTATCAAATAGCATGACTACATAATCACTCTTTTACATAATTCTAATTCACTCCTTGCAAATTTATAGTGATCTTTTTTGTTTTATGTCATCCTCGTTGATTTGCTATGCCTCTGCAGCTGTGCATTGATGCCCAGTATTTTATAAATGATTTGTTTTTTTACCTCTAATTGGGGTACTAGTATCTCAAATAAACTTAATCACATTTTGATTAATTTACTGTTTCTATAGAGTTTGAGCTGGCTCAAACTCTGTTTTGGAAATGCATCACATTAAGATTTTATGTTGGAAGTATTTTGAATATTTTCCATTGGAACCAACCAACTTCTGTAGCTATTTAATATGTTGTTTGAATGAACTGAATACGTCATTGTTGGTGTTAACGAGGGTTTTTTCATTATTATTGAAGAGTTTTGTGGGGGGAGAGAAATATATCTCACTTTCTAGACAGCGTGTAGGGAATAGGCACATTGCTAGTGTTTGACAAATGTAAGCAAAATTGAAAACTCTCACAGTCGCACTGTTTCTCTCTGTTTGCAACACATGGGCTGTTCTAAAAATTTATATTTTTTGAAATTCATTTTTTTTTATGTAATTGTCGTTTTGACGTTTTTACTTTATTTCAGATATTAAAGTAAATATTTTTTAAAAAAAATTATTAATTTGTACAATTAATTTAATATAATATTTTTAAATGACTATATTATAATTGCTGTAAAAACAATTTTTTTATCAAACTCTTGAACATTGATAATAATTTAAAAAAAAAAAATTAAATTCAAATACAATCGGAATCGGTAATGACTTTATATTTTATTTTATTGTTAAATAAATTTTTTATAGCTGCCTACCATAGCGATGCCACTATGGAACAATACATTATTGTCGACAAAGGAATACTTAGAGACTGAAGCCTAATATAATTAACTTTGTAAATCATATTACCGAAAAAAAAAACTTTGTAAATTATTAATAATTATATATATATATATATTTACTTTAATTATTTTATTATGCAATTTTTGTAAATAAATGATTTTTTTTATTTTCTATATTTTATACATCCTTGTCTAGATATTTATTTATTTTAATGTTCATATATTTATTATATATAATTAATTTAATAATTATATACCCGAACATTAGAGCAGATGATTCTTGGTTGATATATATATATATATATAAGGATAAATATATATAGAGATAAGATCAACTTACACCGGTATAAGAATAATAAATTTTATATCAAATTTTAACCGTTGATTTTCGTGCATATAGTGATTAAGATTTATTGAGAATTAATAATAATTGATGAGTGAGATCCAATAAACCTCAATTAAGTTGTA